GTCCTCTCTCACTTTCGTTCGTTTCATTCGGTATAAAGTAAATAATTTAGCATGTAGAAAGGGTTGTCCAAGTTTTTTAGAGTGTTTCGGGTGTCCTTTTCTTCCTTTTCTGTAGCCACCCACCTTAACAGGACACCCACACCAGAGACTCCGATTTTGGAAACTTGAAGGAAAGGCGCTCCCCTTTTTCCACCGTTGCCTTCCTGTCGTTCCTTGCGCAAGAGGCAATAAAAGAAAGAAATGATATTACATGTATCCAAAATTAGGGTGTCCTGTTTTTCTTTTCTGTAACAAGACCTACTTTTCACGGACACCCACACCGGAGACCTCCATTTTTTTGAACCCTTTGAAAGAAAGCGGGCCGAAGACTTAAGATTTTCTGTGCTCCCAAAAGACAAATCGCAAGCACCGTCTTCCTAAGATTTTGGAGAAGGGGATGCTCCCAAAACACGCCCCCCAAGATTTTGGCAAAATGTGCTCCCAAAAGACAAGTCGCAGGCGCAGCCCTCCAAAAAATTTGGACAAGTTTATGCTCCCAATCAGTTTTTCTTGTTAAAGATGAGTTTACATGTCTTCCTACCTTGTTCCTTTCTTCTTCCGGTTCGCTCGCTCGTTCTCTCTCTCCCTCTCTCTCTCTCTCGCTCTCTCCATCTTTTTGCTTTTATGGGCGGCATGTCTTGTAGAATTGGAAGACGAGGAGGAGGGTGAACTACAAAGCAGAGATTTGCTGAAGCAGAGAGGGAGTGAGACACGGCGAGGCATAGAGAGAGAAGCATAGACCGTGGGAGAGAAAGGGTCTCTTGACTCTTAGCTTCCCCTTTCTCAAGTCCATATTAATTTTCTTTCTTGTGGAAAAGAAAGAGGAAAAGAGAAGAGAGAAGAGGAATTTACATGTTCTTCCTACCTTGTTCTTGTCCCTCCTTCTTCTCTCCCCCCTGACCCTGTCTCTTTTTCTCTCTATCTCCTCATTTTTCTGTTAAAGTGGTGCGGGAAGGCGGATTGCCGGTCAAAATTTGCCGGGATCCCCTTGGCACTCTGCAAAAGTCCTGCAAATACCACACAAAACGGGAAAGGGGTAGGAACAACATTTGGGGGGGCAAAATCGCAAGCCCTGCTCCCTAAGATTTGGTCCCTAAGATGTTAGGTTCAAGTTTTCCTCCAAAAAGCCAAATCGCAAGCCCTGCTCTCCAAAATGTTGGGTTCAAGTTTTCCTCCAAAGAGACAAATCGCAAGCCCTGGTCCCTAAGATTGTGGGGTCATTCTTTGCTCCAACGAGTCAAATTCACAAGTCCTGGTACCTAAGATTTGGGGTGGCTCTTTGGAGGAAAACTTGAACCCACAATCTGCGGGACAAGGGCTTGCGATTTGACTCTTTGGAAGAAAACTTGAACCCAAGTTTTTCGGGACCAGGGCTTGCGATCTGGCTCTTTGGAGGAAAAATTGAACCCACCATCATATGGACCAGGGCTTGCGATTTGGCTTTTTGAAGCCAAAATCTTAGGGACCAGGGCTTGCGATGTGACTCTTTGGAGGAAAACTTGAACCGAACATTTTGGGGACCAGGGCTTGCGAACTGGCTCTTTGGGGGAAAACTTGAACCCAAAATTGGGGGACCAGGGCTTGCGATTTGACTGATTGGAGCAAAGAATGACCCCGCAATCTCAGGGACCAGGGCTTGCGATTTGGCTCTTTGGAGGAAAACTACTTGGAACCCACAATCTTAGGGACCAGGGCTTGCGATTTGGCTTTTTGGAGCAAAACTGGAACCCAAAATCTTAGGGGCCGGGGCTTGTGATTTGGCTCTTTGGAGGAAAACTTGAACCCCAAATCTTAGGGACCAAGGCTTCCGGTTTGCCCGCAATCTTAGGGACCAGATTTGGGTCTTTGGAGGAAAACTTGAACCCAAAATCTTAGGGACCAGAGCTTGCGATTTGGCTCTTTGGAGAAAGCTTGAACCCAGAATCTGCGGGACCAAGGCTTGCGATTTGGCTCTTTGGAGGAAGACTTGAACCCAAAATCTTAGGGACCAGGGCTTGTGATTTGGCTCTTTGGAAGAAAAATTGAACCCAAAATCTTAGGGACCAGGGCTTGTGATTTGTCTCTTTGGAAGAAAAATTGAACCCAAAATTTTGGGGACCAGGGCTTGCGATTTGGCTGTTTGGAGCAAAACATGACCCCACAATCTTAGGGACCAGGGCTTGCGCTTTGACTCTTTGGAGGAAAACTTGAACCCAAAATCTTAAGCGCCAGGGCTTGCGATCTGACTTTTTGGAGGAAAACTTGAAGCCAAAGTTTCAGGGACCAGGGCTTGTCATTTGGCCTTTTGGAGCAAGACTTGAAGCCAAAGTTTTAGGGAGCAGGGCTTGCGATTTGGCGATTTTGGAGCAAAGCTTGAAGCCAAAGTTTTAGGGAGCAGGGCTTGCGATTTGGCTCTTTGATGTTCTTTGGAGCAAAACTTGAACTCAAAATCTTAGGGACCTGGGCTTGCGATTTGACTGTTTGGAGCAAAGAAATGACCCCACGAAACCTTGAAAGAAAAGGTGCTCTTTGTTCACTCTCACCTTTCGTTCGTTTCATTTTCTGAACGCTTTAATTTAAGTATGAATATCTAATGTAATATGTAAAGAGGGGTGTCCAAGTTTTTTTTGAGTGTTTCGGGTGTCCTTTTCCTTTTTTGTAGCGAAATATTAAATACACACCCGCACCGGAGATCTTGTTTTTGGAACCTTGAAAGAAAAGTGCTTCTTTGTCCTCTCTCACTTTCGTTCGTTTCATTCGGTATAAAGTAAACAATTTAGCATGTAGAAAAGGGTTGTCCAAGTTTTTTAGAGTGTTTCGGGTGTCCTTTTCTTCCTTTTCTGTAGCCACCCACCTTAACAGGACACCCACACCAGAGACTCCGATTTTGGAAACTTGAAGGAAAGGCGCTCCCCTTTTTCCACCGTTGCCTTCCTGTCGTTCCTTGCGCAAGAGGCAATAAAAGAAAGAAATGATGTTACATGTATCCAAAATTAGGGTGTCCTGTTTTTCTTTTCTGTAACAAGACCTACTTTTCACGGACACCCACACCGGAGACCTCCATTTTTTTGAACCCTTTGAAAGAAAGCGGGCCGAAGACTTAAGATTTTCTGTGCTCCCAAAAGACAAATCGCAAGCACCGTCTTCCTAAGACTTTGGAGAAGGGGATGCTCCCAAAACACGCCCCCCAAGATTTTGGCAAAATGTGCTCCCAAAAAGACAAGTCGCAGGCGCAGCCCTCCAAAAAAATTGGACAAGTTTATGCTCCCAATCAGTTTTTCTTGTTAAAGATGAGTTTACATGTCTTCCTACCTTGTTCCTTTCTTCTTCCGGTTCGCTCGCTCGTTCTCTATCTCTCTCTCTCTCTCTCTCTCGCTCGCTCTCTCCATCTTTTTGCTTTTATGGGCGGCATGTCTTGTAGAATTGGAAGACGAGGAGGAGGGTGAACTACAAAGCAGAGATTTGCTGAAGCAGAGAGGGAGTGAGACACGGCGAGGCATAGAGAGAGAAGCATAGACCGTGGGAGAGAAAGGGTCTCTTGACTCTTAGCTTCCCCTTTCTCAAGTCCATATTAATTTTCTTTCTTGTGGAAAAGAAAGAGGAAAAGAGAAGAGAGAAGAGGAATTTACAAGTTCTTCCTACCTTGTTCTTGTCCCTCCTTCTTCTCTCCCCCCTGACCCTGTCTCTTTTTCTCTCTATCTCCTCATTTTTCTGTTAAAGTGGTACGGGAAGGCGGAATGAGATGAAGGCAGCGTCCTCCCCTGGAGGCACCTGCCCACAAAAAAAGGAGCATCAGCTTCCAAGAGATTTGCAGAAGGAGAGAGGGAATGAGACAACGCAGGGCATGGAGAGAAGCGTAGACCGTGGGGGAGAGAGAGCGAGAGGGCCTCTTGGCTTTCCCCTTATCTCGTTCTCTGTTTAGACAAGAAAAAAAGGGAGTTTGCACCTTCTTCTCGCTCCTCACTCGTCTCTCTTCTCCACACCCCTCTCGCGCTCCTTTTTTTCCCCCTTTTTCAGCGGGCTTGAGGACAAGGGGTTTCCCCACGACCGCCCCACGCTGCACTCACTCTCTCTCTCTCTCTCTCTCTCTCTCGCTCTGTTTTTTCTTTCTTTTCTGAGAAGAACAGGAAGGGGTGGAAGCTGATGCTGGGTGCCTCCAGGGGGGGGACGTTGCCTTCCTCTCATTCGTACCACTTTAAAAAGAATGAGGAGATATAGAGAAGGAGTGACAGGGTCAGGGGGAGAGAAGCGGGAGGGACAAGAACAAGGTTAGAAGAGGCCATGATAGTACGACTTACGTGACAGCAGCGTGCCCTCGTGGGAACGTCAAGTTTTCCTCCAAAGAGCCAAATCAAGCCCTGGTCCCTAAGATATTGGGTTCAAGTTTTCTTCCAAAGAGCCAAATCGCAAGCCCTGGTCCCTAAGATTTTTGGGTTCAAGTTTTCTTCCAATCTAAGAACATGTCTGGCGACCCCGAAAAGACATAGACTCCCAGTTTCCCACGTGACAGCCTCGTACCCTCGTCGGAATGGGTTTGGTAATAACAAAACCCGAGTGCCAGCTTCCAAATAAACCCTATTTAAGCCACCCACGGGGGGGGGGGGGGGGGGGGGGGGGGAGGGGGGGGTGGGGGCGGGGAGGGGGGGGTGGCGGGGGGGGTGGGGGGGGGTGGGGGGGGTTGGGGTGTGGGGTGGGGGGGTGGTGGGGGTGCCAAAAACGCTGATTTTGACGGGAAAAAATTGCCCGACCCCCCCTACCCCCCCCCGCGTTTTGGGGGGGTAAGGAGGGAAAGAGGGAGGTTTTCACCTCCTCAAACCCATCCAACACGCTGCCAGGGTCGGCGGACCCTTAACCCTAAACCCTAAACCCCAAACCCTAAACCCCAAACCCCAAACCCCAAACCCAAGCCCTAAACCCTAAACCCCCTCGTGCCCTGGACCGAGCAAGTTTCAAGCATGCCTAAGCCCTAAACCTTCAACCAGGCTGTCAAGGACCACGTCTATGACGGCCGTGGGCTCGGCTCATCAAAGCCCTAAACCCTAAACCCTAAACCCTAAACCCTAAACCCTAATTACAGGGTCCGTGGCGTTTAGGATCTCAGGGTTTTGTTTTTTTTTCGTTTTTTTCAGATTTCAACCCGACAGTCATGGTTGTCACGCAAAGGTCCTGGTGTTCCAGGTGCCGTAGGCAGGGTTGAGGGCCTGAGGGTTTCAGCGTTTTGGGTTGGGGACCCTTAAATGTACGGCCCCCGTTGAGGTAGGTTTAGGGTTTTGGGGTTTAGGATTTCAGTTTCAGGTTTAAGGTTTAAACGTTCCTGCCCCGGATGGTCGGTTTGAGTGTCGTATTGAAAAGGGATCATAATTTTGACAGCCACCCATTTTGTAGTGGCGTATCATCTCTTGTAGTGGTTGCGTTGCATGTAGGGGTGTGGTTTTTGGGAATGGGAGTGCACCCTTGGGGACTCCGTTTGGCATTGGTGCGTGTTCGCAGCAAGTTCCAGCCCGACGACCCTCGCCAAGATTGAGAACCCTAAGCCCTAAATCCGAAACCCTAAACCCTAAACCCAGAGCCCAGAGCCCAGAGCCCCGGGACCCTCGACCTGAAACGGTATACCCGGAATTCCGAAGCGGACGAGAACTGGCTGGGGGGTTGTTCTCCATTCGTTGCAGTCTGGTGTCACAAGAGGGCCGCCTAAACTTTTTGAGGCCCTGAACCTAAACCCTAAACCCTAAACCCCAAACCCCAAACCCGCTGCTCACAAGGTCTTGAGGAGGTCCACATCGTGGCCTTTACAGAGACTGAGATCGATGAGCTGCCACAACCTCAGCTAGCACCCAGAGGCGGCTGCCTTTCTGTAGGGTTTTTGGGGCGTAGGATATACACCCTGGACTTTCCTAAGCCCTAAACCCCAAACCCTAAACCCTAAAGCCTAAACCCTAAACCCTAAACCCTAAACTCAGGGCCTAGGCCGCCATCCTACAGAAGGGGGGCGGCGCTTCAGCCCTTCCACCTCTATGAGCCCAGTACCGGCCGTTTTGCGGTTTAGGGTTTAGGGTTTAGGGTTTAGGGTTTAGGGTTTAGGGGTGGATACACCTGGGACCTTTCTGGGACGGGCCTTTCTGGGCTGGGACCTTTCTGAAACCTTCTGAGACCCTGGCACCCCCTCTGAGACCTTCCTGGAATCCTTGGGACTGAGACCTCCTGGAATGGAAAAAGTTTTTGGAAGTGGGCAGGTGACTTGAGTTTAGGCCTAAACCCTAAAAGGAATAGGTTTGGGCGGTTTTGCCGCCTGAGACGGCGCGGGGTGGGGTAAAGATGTTAGATGGCCCTCCACTATCGGGCCATGGCTGCTCTTCGTATCTCACGAAGCTGTCGAAGGGAGTCTGCATCCCAACCTTCACAGCTTCTGCGCCATTTCACAGCAAGCCCTAACCCCTAAAACAAAAACCTAGGAACCTCATGTAGAACAATCTTGAAAGGTAAAGTTCGGCAGTTCAAGGGTTTCGCATGTAGGGCTTGGGGGCATTAAGGCTTTTGGGCTTTCGGGTTTCGTTCAAGGTGCAAAAGCAGCTTTGGGAGGACTCTTTGCCAGTGATGCTGTGAAGCATCATCAGCAGTGGTCTGGCAAGGCCAAGGGTGTGAAATCCAGCAAGTCGTCGAAGACGAACAAGGACCTCCCTAAACCCTAAACCCTGAACCCTAAAGCCTAAACCCTCAGATGAATTGACGGAAACGACCGCAGACTGGTCTCTCAAGTGAATCTGCCATCTCAAGTGACCACTTTCGAGGTAGTTGGCGTTTCCCAAACTCCTGTCTTGAAAAGTGGCGACGAGACCTCACCCCAACATAAAAAAACAGGATTATGAAACCCCATAATACCAACATAAACCACAGGATTATGAAACCCCATAATACCAACATACCAACATAAACCACAGGATTATGAAACCCCATAATAAGACCTGCAAAGCCTATAAGCCCTGTAGACCCCACGAGCCTTGCAATCCGCGCAACCCGACAAGCTGTACAAGCCCTATAAGCCGCACAGACCTCAAAGTCCTAGCAAATCCTCTAAGCTTTACAAACCCATTCAAGCGTATGAAGCCCCAGCAACTTACAAGCCCTAAATGTATACCTTCTAATTAATTTAAACCCGAAACCCTAAACCCTTAACCCTAAACCCCAAACCCTAACCCCGTAGCCCTAAACCTGTAACCCCTGAACCCTGAACGCTAAACCCTGAACCCTAAACCCTAAACCCTAAACCCCAAACCCTAAACCCTAAACCCTAAACCCTAAACCTTAAACCCTAAACCCTAAACCCGAAACCTGAAGCCAAGGTTAGCTGCCGCGCAGCGCGTCTTCAGCGGCTCCAAGACTTTCGTGCGAGGCCACCTTTGATGAAGTTTTTCGGTGGAGTTTAGGGTTTAGGGTTTAGGGTTTAGGGTTCAGGGTTTAGGGTTTAGGGTTTAGGCTTCAAGGTTTAGGGGTTTAGGGTTTAGGGTTTAGGCTTTAGTGTTTAGGGTTCAGGGTTTAGGGTTCAGGGTTTAGGGTTTAGGGTTTAGGGGTTTAGGGGTTTAGGGGTTTAGGGGTTTAGGGATTTAGGGATTTAGGGATTTAGGGTTTAAGGTTAACCTTATAAGAACCCAAACAATTGATTTGTGGGTTACCTAAGAATCGCAGAAGGGGCGTTACAAGAAGAGCCTACGCAGCAGTAGGGTTTGGGGTTCTTAAGGCAGGGTTTAGGGTTTGGGGTTTGGAGTTTAGGGTTTAGGGGCATCTTTGGGAATCACCAGTTCCTTGACAGTCGCTTACGGTAGTATGGCTACAGCAGCCCAACCCACCTCTTAAGCCTCAAACCTGGAAACCGCAGACGCAGGTTAAACCCGACCCAAAAACCTAAATCCTAAAGCCTAGCCCTTAAACCCTAAACCCTAAACCCTATGTAGGTCAGACATTCTCACTGTAGGGGCTTCGGGTTCACTGGTTGAGGGTTTAGCGGTGTTCGGCTCCCTTGGCCTGAGCACAATCCCCACTTGTTTTTTGTTGTTTTCTTTCTGTGTTTTCTAGGGCTCAGTTATAAATAGGGATTCTAGTACCTCCCTTAAAATCCCTAGTAAGGACGGTTAGTGTAAGGGGGAGCATCCCAAATTTAGGGTTGGGATCCTTCACAAGCCCAAGTAAATGAGAAAAAAGGATGCCCTTTTTTTGCTCGTAAACCCTAGACCCTAGACCCAATATTTCCTGGTACTCCCCCCCCTGCCCTACGACTCCCACACCCCCGCCCTCCCTGCAACCTCTAAGACCTAAACCCTGAACCCTACGCCCCTACACCCGAACGACCCTAGCACGCAGCTCTTTAATCCTCCCTGAAGAATCCAGAGCTGCTTGTGGAGTTTAAGCTCATGCCCCCGTACTTGAAAGGTTAGGAATTAGGGTTATGTAGGGCTTCGGGCTGAATGCGGCAGAAGAGGTGCTAGACAAGCACCCTAAACCCGAAACCCTAAACCCTAAACCCTATATTTACCCTAAACCCTAGACCCCACAAACTGCCCCCAAGCCCTAAAGTTTAGGGTTTAGGGTTTAGGGTTCAGGGTCCAAACCCCAAGAGTGAAACACCACCCAAACCGTGAACCCCAAAACCCCAAAGCCCTAAAACCCCAAAGCCCCAAAAGCCCAAAGCCCCAAAACCCCAAAGCCCCAAAAGCCCAAAGCCCCAAAACCCCAAAGCCCCAAACCCAAAACCCAAAATCCCAAAGCCTAAGCCCTAAACCCCAGAACCCTGAAGTCCTAAACCCCAAACCCTAAACCCCAGATCCCCAAAATCCTAAACTTCAAGAGTGTTCACTGGAAGCTGGCCGCAGAAATCAGGGTGGAGACTTCAGGGCGTAAGGTGCTTTTGTTGGGGCAAATTGGGGGATTTTTTTTGGTTTAGGGTTTGTTTAGGGTTTAGGGTTTAGGGTTTAGGGTTTAGGGTTTAGGGTTTAGGGTTTAGGGTTTAGGGTTTAGGGTTTAGGGTTTAGGGTTTAGGGTTTAGGGTTTAGGTTAGGGTTTAGGGTTTAGGGTTTAGGGTTTAGGGTTTAGGGTTTAGGGTTTAGGGTTTAGGGTTTAGGGTTTAGGGTTTAGGGTTTAGGGTTTAGGGTTTAGGGTTTAGGGTTTAGGGTTTAGGGGCGGACGGGGGCTTTCAAGCGCCAGGCTCGGAGTGTTTGGTAAGGGGCTGGTGAACCTGGCCTGAGTCTAGTTCGATGAACCCTAATTAAACCCTAAACGTTTGGGGTTTAGGGTTTAGGGTGTAGGGCCTAAACCCGAATCCCGAAACCTGGCAGGGCGGTCTTGTCCGCAATGCACAATGCAGTAAACTGCGGGCTTTTCTCATCACTGGGGGTTGTTCGCCATGTGTGTCCGTGTTACCTCTTACAAAGGGGTCTGATGATAGAAGATACCTATGCGGGAACCCTTATGTAGAACAACCCCCCCCCCCCCCCCCCCCCCCCCCCACCGGTTTGCTTGGGGTGGGATGGGGGGAGAGCGGAACAAGCAATCTGTCAATGGGATGTGTGTGTGTGTGTGAGATTCTGGTTCATTGACCTACTAAAACGTTTGGGGTTTACTGACCCTAAACCCTGAACCCTATACAAACCTTAAGCCCTAAACCCTATATAAACCCTAAGCCCTAAACCCTAAATTCCGTTCTGGGATCATCACGCTCGTGGTTTGACTCGAGGGTCCCGGGGTCCAACTACAAGGGCTGGCCGGGGGCTGGAAACGTTAGACCGGCTCATCTGATATGGGTTCAGGGTTTGGGGCTTGGGGTTTAGGGTTAGGGTTTAGGGTTTAGGGTTTAGGGTGTAGGGTTTAGGGCTTAGGGTTTAGGGTTTAGGGTTTAGGGTTTAGGGTTTAGGCTTCTTTCTACCCTGCCCCCTTCCCTGCAACCTAAAACAAAGCCCAGCATGTCTTTAAACAGGCTTTCTTGGCCAGCTCTCAATAGCTACTACGTGCCTAAGAACCCCCCCCAAAACGGCATAATGTTCCTTATAGTATTTTCTACGAAAGAATATGTTGTTGTTGTTTTTTTTTTTTGGGGGGGGGGGGTCTTCAGCAAATGGTAGTTAGGATCCCATGAAACGACACGCTTGCCCGCGATCACCTCTCCCCACCCCCAGTTTCCGGGAGCGTCGAACCCCTGGCGAATCAGCGCCGGGGCGTTTACCTTAAGGACCACATGAACCTTCAAAGGGTTTAGGGCTTAGGGTTAGGGTTAGGGTTTAGGGTGGGTTTAGGGTTTAGGGTATTAAGGACCACATGAACCCTTAAAGGGTTTATGGTTCAGAGACCTTAATCGGGAGAAATGTAGTATAGGGGATATGGCCCCAATTTTTGGGGTTCATGTGGTCCTCAAGGCAGCGGACACGCCGTGCCCCGCATCATAGGATCTTTTAACGAGGGGGGGGGGGGGGGGTTACGGCCTCTACAGGCCTAAAGCAATCAACCCCCTAAACCATAAACGCTAAACCCTTAACCCTAAACCATAAACCCTAAACCCTAAACCCTACATACCCTGAACCCTACATAATCTGAACCCTAAACCCTAAATGCCCTAAACCCTACATCCTACATACCCCCACACCCACCACCATCTTAGGGCCTAAGTGCGGCTTCGCCCTGGGGATGAAAAATCCTAGGACCAGTTTGCAACAGCAGTCCTTTCCATGTAAAACCCTACATCATGCGGGTTTAGGGTTGTCCAAGCAGCGATCAGTTTCTAGGCCAAGTTACCTAGAGAGAGACCCCTTCATTAAGGAACACACCCTGGTTCACAAAAAGGATCCCCGCACAGCTTCCCTAAACCCTAAACCCTTCGGGCTCTCCTGGCAACACACCCCGCGCCCTGTAAACCCTAAACCCTCAAGCCCGACAGTTCAACGAGAAGTTTGTTTCTTCGGGTTCTATGGGGGTGTCTCAAAAATGAGGATACATGTTTTTTTCGGGTTTAGGGTTTCGAATTCGGGTACCCTATATAAACCCTGCGGTACATCAGCCGTCAGTGGTACCCTTTTGCTCCTATTCCCTTCTTTGTTGAAGGGCCCCTTAATGCAAGATGGTTACTGGGCAACGCAGACCTGAAGCCCTGTAGTCAAGCTCTCCACAGGGTTTAGGAGTTTAGGGTTTAGGGCTTCGGGTTTAGGGTTCACTTCGGGTTTAGGGCTTAGGGCTTAGAGTTTAGGGTGGCCAAGAGATGTGAGCCTGGCAGGTGAGGAAGAAGGACACGACCCCGTAGAACGCAGTGGCTGAACCCTTACCCGCCTAAAGAGCTAGGGCCCAGAGTTGGGCGCGCTCATAATACTCCGCTTTCTTTCATGTTAAGGTTTGTACCAGAAAAGTCCTAAACCCTAAACCCTAAACCCTAAACCCCAAACCCCAAACCCTAAACCCTAAACTCCAAACCTCTGTATTCCTAGGTTACTCTGGGTCCTAGAGGGCCATTGGATCTCCTGGGGGGGCACGGCCTGATCTGGCCTAGAAGTCCGGCTTTAGCACGGCAGGAGGCTGCAAGGAGCCCCATCCTTCGTAAAGGGTTCAGGGGTTTGGGGGTTTGGGGGTTTAGGGTTTAGGGTTTAGGGTTTAGGGTTTAGGGTTTAGGGTTTAGGGTTTAGGGTTTAGGGTACCTGTATAGATGTATACAAATCATAGCTAGAATATAAGATAGGATGTGATAAGATAATCGGATATCATAACAAGAATAGTCAAAATCACAACAAGACATATACATATACATATATATATAAGTATATGCTACCCTGGCCCGCCCCCTCAAAGAACCACCGTTTTAGAGACTTGCAATAGACAACACAGTTCCCGTTGCATGTTATATCGTTTCTCCTGACGAGACGTACAACCACCTGAAGCATCCTGAAAATCACAAATATATCAGCAAAGTATCTAAACAAAACCTTCTGGCATACATACCCCTTTTCATAAAGTATCTAAAGAAAACTTCTGGCGGTCTCAGGGAATGGTGAAAAGATATTTGCTCGCAGTCATTCTCGCCTCCCCGGGACTTACGGCAGATGAGCTTTTCGCATCCCCTTGTGCCTTCTCCATTCTCTGTGTTTGATATACAATACTTATACCCTATATACATACATGATGTGGGTATTTATTCTACTTTGTCTTTGCATTTTCACAGAAGGCAAGCCCTGCAAACATAGGAAGAACCCTACGGGGTTTGAGGTATAATTCGGTATTTAAGCCTCAAGCCTTTCAGGGTTATAAGGTTCTACTCGTATAGACAATGCCTATACCTCAGACCCGAAACCTGTAAACCCTACAGGGTCTAAATCCTTTAGGGCTAACCCCGTGACGGTTTTAGAGATAAACCCTGAAAAGACCCTAACCTTTCAACCCTATAGGGTTTAATGGTTTGCAAACCTGTTTGATACTTCTCGCTCTATCTGGGGAGCCCGGAATAGACCGGTTTGTGGATGATATATGTAACATGGGTGCCAGAAAGGCGGGGAATCTTGCGCATATCACCGATCAGGAGACAGCTGCCAATGTGCTCGTCTCACATGCAGCAGCCTTTTTTTGCGATTTGTAGGAAAAAGAGCCCTAAAGCGCGAAACCTTAACCCTGCACCCTAAAGTCTCCGCTGAAGATTGGAGGCTTAGGCTTTGTTGATTGAGGGTTCCTTTCACCTGCTGCTTGTAGCTTCACTTCAAATCTTACCAGTACGCCTCAGCTAAGAATGACCGAACGCCATGCTGAGAAGCACCCCAAAACCCTGAGCTCTGTCCTCAGAATTTTCCTAAACCCTAAACCCTAAACCCTAAACCCTATAAACCCTAGACAAAAAGGGTGCAGGGAGGAATCTCTCGTTCAAGGTTTAGGCCGCTGTCTAGCTCTTATCGGGTTCTTAGGGAGTACTGGGGTTTAGGGTTTCGGGTTTAGGGTTTCGGGTTTAGGGTTTAGGGTTTAGGGTGTGTTACATACCCCCCTTGAACCCCCTTGAACCCACCCCTCCCTGAAGAACGCCTAGGAACTAGTTGTAAGTGGTGATATAAGCCGATGGCTTGATTTGCAGGCTTTTCTGTGGAAATTGCCTGCAGGTTCCGAATATAGTACCTGTTGGTGCAGTATACTATAGCCCCTACAGCTAACCCAAAAAGGAACTATGTCGGAGCATTCAGGTAAGCTTCCTATAGCATGATATTTCTGGTTTCTTGCTGAGCAGGAGTTCCCGGTTTAGGGTTTAGGGTTTAGGGTTTAGGGTTTAGGGTTTAGGGTTTAGGGTTTAGGGTTTAGGGTTTAGGCCTTCCCTAAACGCCTAAACGCTCGTGCCCAAAACCCCAAAGCCCAACCCGCAAATCCTGAACCCCAAGCCGCGGGCGCCCACTTCTGATAATTTACCCCGCCCGGGCCCTTCATGTAGGGTTTAGGGGCTTAGGGGCTTAGGGGTTTGGGGGGTTAGGGGTTTAGGGGTTTAGGGGTTTAGGGGTTTAGGGGTTTAGGGGTTTAGGGGTTTAGGGGTTTAGGGGTTTAGGGGTTTAGGGGTTTAGGGGTTTAGGGTTCAGGGGTGCCCACGCGGACTGCGTTTCTACAACAGTGCAGCAGGTATGTTGTTGGCCAGCTCTGTTTCAGAATAGCGGTAAAGGCAACCTAAGCTCCAGCCCACACAGAACACACCCTAGGGTTTAGGGTTTATAGGGTTTAGGGTTTAGGGTTTAGGGTTTAGGGTTTAGGGTTTAGGGTTTAGGGTTTAGGGTTTAGGGTTTAGGGTTTAGGGTTTAGGGTTTAACTACTTGACCCCAGACCTCTCCCCAACTCATAAACTGCCCCAAAGCCCCCAAAAGCCTGTACCCGAAGGCCTGAACCCCCAAACCCTACACCCACCTCCGCTTGAGGGCCTTTTAAAGCCGCGATGCAGGTCCGGTTTGAGAACGCCGATGATGCCCTCATGGCCATGCAGAGGCAAATCTGACAAGCCGGGTTTAGGGTTCATGGTTGGTTTAGGGTTTAGGGTTTAGGGTTTAGGATTTAGGGTTTTACGGTTCAGGGCTTAGCGCCTCTAAACCTGTAGCCCTAAGTAGGAAATCAGGGATATCGGCGCACCTCGTCGCTTGTCACACCGAGATATTCCCTTTAATTAGGGATTCCCGAATTCTCTTGCCCCTTCAAAGAAAAGTAGGTAAAGGGGAACGCAGTCATATAGGGGCCCATTCATTGAAAGACATGCGAAAGCCACAGTGATGTGTGTGCGAGAGAGAGAGAGTGTGCGTCCGCGAACCCTAAACCCTAAACTCCTTTCCCTATTCCATATTCCGATGAATGGATCTTTTGGGTAGTTTATTCTCCTACCGA